CGGCGCTGTTTTTTTTTTGTTTTTATTTTGTTCTTAGAAAATGGTTGGTTGCGTTTTTAATGAATTTGGAATGGAAGGGATTTTAAAAGGCGTTTTGTGTATTGAATCAGAGAGAATGTAAGGATGAATAAAAGTGTATGCGGGAGTTGAAAGAAAAAAATTACGTTTTCTTTTTGCTTGAAATAAGTTTTTTTAATCAATGGGAATATTCTTGTGTATAAGATTGTGTTTAATAGTTTATGTCTTACTTTATATGTATGCAAGATGTTTTATGGGGATTCATTTGGAAAAACTGAAAGAGTATACTATAGAAAGAATTATTTAAGTAAAATTCACAAATTACGAATGTCAATACCAATTTAATAATTATAAAAATAGTGCAAAAATATGAAACATTACTTTCAAGCTCCTTTTCCATGTTTTTAAAAGAGAATTATTATAATTTTTTTTTACTATATTATGGTTAAATTTATTAAATATTCTTAGTTATAGAACACAAAAAAAATATATCTTGAGAGAAAAGTATATCTTTTATGTTGGCTCAGACTTCAATACACATGCGTCAAATTAAAAAGAATTCTTATGCATGTTCAAATCTGGGCGTTTCCTTTCGGTGCTATTTAAAGGCGTAGTCACTCGTAATTAACTTGTGATTTAACGACATTATAGAGCCACCATTTTCAATTACTACGCTAGAATATACTGATGTGCTGCAAACGCTTTTAAAAATCATAAATGTACACTGTGTGTAAGGCCAATAAATACTCAGAAGTGTACGTAGGCAAATAAGGAATATTTTTGATTATGCTAGCAATAGGTTAATAAGAAAATTACTCTATACAGGCCCAGTGGATGAGTGGTAGCGTATGGCGCTTCCACACCACAGGTTCGGGGCTCTATCCTCGGACTAGTCAAGGTCATAACTCAGCCTTTCATGCCTTCAGTGGCTTGGTACTTATTTATAAGTACCAAGCTAGCTTGGGAACTAAAGACTAACACCTGATCGCATCAGACTGACCACCTGGCCGAGACATCTGCTCATGGAACTCAGATCCCAATGGTCACGTATACTGAGATGGGCACAATAAACCCTGGTCCTCATGGGCTGTTTAAGAAAAGTACTCTACTTCTATGTCAAACTTAAAATTATAAACACTCTGCGTTTTCGTATAAGAAATTACACCTACAGTTCTTTCTTTGAGTTATATAATAGTTAGATATTGTCTCGACGAACATCTTTCATTTCTAAAGATAGATTTTGCGGTTATTTTAAGCATTTGAACCTCTTTTAATCCTTATTATTAAACGCTTAATTGTTATTGAACTTTAAAGTATACTGAGAGAGAAATCTGGCATAATTGAAAAATATACTAGAAACTTTATTTTTAAGTAACAAATAAAAGATTAGATCAGTGATTCTCAAACTTTCAATT